TATATATATATATGTATATATATATTTATATTATGTACCATGTTTAGTGCTGATCAAGACACTAAGGAGTACTGATGTGGGCCACCTCTGCAGCCCACCAAGGCAATAGTTTGAGACCTAACTCATCCTATAGTTTCCAGACAGCATAAGGGCAGGTTTTATGTCCACAATAGAGGCTGGCCAGGGAATGGTGTGGAGTATATCAATGCACATTCCTTCCTGTCACCACTTATTAGTCTATATGACAGTCATACTGTTCTTTGTTTGTCTGTTTGTACTGGTACTGGGTCTTGAACTTAGGGTTTTGTGCTCTCAGCTTTTTGGCTCATAGCTGGTATTCTACATCTTGAACTACAACTCCAGCCTAGCTTTTGTCTGGTTAATTGGAGATGGGGTTCTGCCCACACTGGCTTCAAAGCCTCCAGAGAAGTTAAGATTATAGGTATGAGTTACTAGAACTTGAGTCACAGTTCTGCTTCTTGCTTTTTGGTATTTAGAGGTAAAGAGTCTCACAGAGTTTACTGTTGAACTGGCTCAAAACAGAGTTCCTCAGAATTTAGCCTCTGAGGAGGTAGGATCCCAACAGTGAGCCACCAGCACCTAACTCAAATGTAATTTTAAAGTAAACATCTTAAAGGATTTTTTTTGGGGGGAGGGGGGAAGTGGGGCTTGAACTCTGGGCCTGGGTGCTATCCCTCAGCTTTTCAGCTCAAGATGAGCACTCTACCACTTGAGTCACAGTGCCACTTCTGGTTTTCTGGTTGTTAATTGGAGATAAGAGTGTCACGGACTTTCCTGCCTGGGCTCTGAACTGCTGTCCTCAGATCTCAATCTACTGAGTTGCTAGGATCACAGGCATGAGTCATCGACGCCTGGCATTTTAAAGGATTTTGAAAATATAATTTGGCCTTCTTGGAAATAGGACCAGCTCAGTACTTTATCTTTTTCTTCTGATTTGAACCATTTGGTGATCTTTATGTCAATCTGCAATTAAATGAGACTTTTTTTCTTCTTCTTCTTAGGGGAAACTGGCTCTGGGAAGACAACTCAGATCCCTCAGTACCTCTATGAGGGGGGCATCAGCCGCCAGGGCATCATTGCTGTGACCCAGCCCCGTCGAGTGGCTGCCATCTCTCTTGCTACTAGAGTCTCAGATGAGAAGAGGACTGAACTCGGGAAGCTGGTATCTTAGTTCCTTTACTATCAGTGCTTAAAAAAAAAATAATAATAACTGGACTGGGAATGTGGCTTAGTGGTAGAGTGCTTGCCTAGCATGCATGAAGCCCTGGGTTTGATTTTTCAGTACCACATAAACAGAAAAGGCCAGAATGGTGTTGTGGCTCAAGTGGTAAGGTGCTAGTCTTGAGCAAAAGAAACTCAGGGACAGTGCACAGGCCCTGAGATCAAGCCCCAGGACTGGCAAAAACAACAAGTGGCAAAGTACTCCTGTTAAGCCCCTGCATTTTAGTTTTTCTGAACAATCTATTGTTTCTTTCTTGCCGCACTTGTTTAAGCCAGTCTGCGATCTCTCCTTGTTGTAGAGGATCATGGGCTTCTTGTTCCTATTGACTTTACTTTCAAAAGCTGTTTGGCTGGTTTGATAAATGAGATTTTTTTTTTAAGTACTGGAGATTGAACCCAGGATCTCATGGCAAGTTAGGCAAGTCCTCTACAACTAAGCTACATCCCTAGCCCTAAATAAGGTATTTTCCTTGGGTATTTTTTTTTTCTTTTGTGCTGTGCTTTGCTGTGCTGGTCCTGGTGCTTGAATTCAAGGACTGAGTGCTGTCCTTGAGCTTCTTTTGCTCAAGGCTAGCACTCTACCACTTGAACCAGAGATCTACTTTTGGCTTTTTTGGGTAGTTTATTGGAGATAAGAAGCTCACAGACTTTCCTGCCCAAGCTGGCTTTGATTCTCAGATCTCAGCCTCCTGAGTAGCTTGAGTTACAGGCATGAGCCACTAACACAGCTTCCAGGGGCACATTTATGACTTCAGAAGCTATTGGTAAATATCTTATATATAAATCTTTCTACAAAAAGTTGTAAGAATTATTTTTTCACATATGTAGACATTTACAGTGAGTCTCAACTGTATAGAAGACAGATTTATATTTGTGTGTTTGTACTAACCTCACTTTCAAACATATTGGACACTATCTCCTTTATCTTCGCCTATCTGTACCTAGCTTCAAATGAGACTATTAGTAGCTTGAAGTAGGAAGCTAGTTTTTAATTCTTTGCAATGCTCAGTATTATTGCAATTAAAGATGAATGTTCACTGTTTCTCAACTCAACTGCAAGCTCCTTAGGGGAGCAGGGCGGCCTGTGTTCACTGAGACAGTCCATGTGCCAAGCACAGTGCTGGTGCACAGTATTCAGCTAATATCTGATGAATAAGAGAGTTGTTTCTTCACATAGGTGGGCTATACAGTACGCTTTGAGGATGTCACCTCAGAAGACACCAGGATCAAGTTCCTAACAGATGGCATGCTTCTGCGGGAAGCTATTTCAGACTCCATGCTTCGAAAGTACAGCTGTGTTATCTTAGATGAAGCCCATGAACGGACTATCCACACAGATGTGCTCTTTGGAGTAGTGAAAGCTGCACAGAAGAGGCGGAAGGAGCTGGGGAAGCTGCCACTGAAAGTAAGTGCCTCAGAGTTATAAGAGCATAGTTAAGGAAAGGCCTGTGCTTCCTCCCTGGGGAGCTCTTTGCCCATTCTGCTTCAGAACCATATGATAGGAGCTGCATGGGCCTCAAGCATCAGCTCTTCAGGTTTGGGAGGAACACAGAAAGGTCCTTCCTTGATTGTTTCCTATCCCTCTTCTCATTCTCTTCTGTAGGTGCTTGTGATGTCAGCCACAATGGATGTAGACCAGTTTTCTCAGTATTTCAATGGAGCCCCTGTCCTCTACCTGGAGGGTCGGCAGCATCCAATCCAGATCTTTTACACTAAACAGCCTCAGCATGATTACCTGCACGCAGCTCTTGTCTCTGTCTTCCAGATCCACCAGGTATGGAATGGGGTGCACATTCTTCGTAAGGTTTGTTTTACCTTGCATTTGGAAGGGAGAGCAAGCAGCCCTAGAAAAGAAAAGCCATTAGTCAAACAGCCTTTTTATGAATTGTGTCTTCAGGATGAATATATTGATTCTCTGTGTCTAACTATTTTTTTTGTTATCTTTTATTTTCCCAGAAAAGAAGTATAATAAATGCTGTAAGGCCAGTCAGAAGCATGTTTTACACTGTGTTTTAGTACACAATATGTTTAGCTGAAATAAATCGATGCTTGTCTCTTACCATATCTGATATGTTCTTTTTTTTTTTTTTTTTTTTTGGGTCCAGTTGTGGGACCTGAACTCTGGGCTTGGGTGCTGTCCCTCAGCTCTTCAGCTCAAGGCTAGCACTCTACCACTTGAGCCACAGCGCCACTT